TTTTGGGATTATTTTCCATATTAAATTCATTGTTTGCTTTCCTTCCCCCCCAAAAAGGAGGGGGTGGCAAATTTGAAAAGAAAATATATTTTACAAAAAGAAAAGCAAACTAAATCATTCTGTACCAATGATAATAATGCATGATGTTAAAGCACCATTATTCAATGCTTACAGCAATGCTGCAAATTTTCATAAAAATGTCAATAAATATATCTTTTAACGTGCTGAATGCAGGAATCTTAAAACTGCACATTTGTAAGAGTATGAGAAAAATCATCAACTGAGGGGTCTGAGCAGTATAATGCATTTCCATTCATCAAATCACAAATAAAAGCATCTACATGGAAAACAATATCTTAATATATTATCCATAAAAAATGGCTTGGTATGCATTTTGTATTAAGATAATTTTCAAATGATTTGCATAACTAGTAAAAGAAGGAAATTTTTATTATAAAATCTCAAATAATGGAATCTTTTTGTATAGAATGAGATACTGTAGCAATAAATTTCCTATTATGCACTTCACAAAGTATTTCATATTGAAAGGAAAAGAAGTAAGATATGTGATAAGATTATTCTTTGTTTACCAATCCTAAAATGTAACTTAAAAACTATCTGAAAACCTCTGCACATTTTTATATTAGTTCAAAGACTTTCCTGTTCATCATGCTTTAGAATTTGTGAGAAATACTGCTTAAGATAATTCTAACTTTATAAGGTAATAAGCAAATGGTTATTTATAATTTATTCAGTGATTAATTTAGCAGTTTTAAAAGAACACATGAAGCGGTGTAACAATAATTAAAATACTACATTTCCAAAGAAGACATACAAATATTACTTTCAAATCACTGCATAGTAGGTGCCACTTAATGTGATCATGTTTTTTTTCATATCTATTTTCATAATATTAGCAGAATAATAACATTAATTTTAAAAAAGCACTTCAGAATGAAAATGGAATTTAACTAATTTAATTAAAAAATATCAAGAACACAAGTATTTTCACAGCATTTTAATTAGAAAATGCAAAAATGTGTTTGTGAACTGCTCATAATGTTCCTGGATATTATTTTACTGCTTCTGTACACGTAATCTTAAAATTAAAAAAATGCATCTTTTGTTTGAAGACTGCCAGTGTAAAATTAAGCAAAAATGCAACCATTATTTGCCATCAGTGTTTTCAGGATTTTTTTTTTGGGGGGGGGGAGTGGCTTCTGAAAAAGAAAGGACTTATGTGTGATTGTTCTTAAAATCAATAGAGTTCCTCATAGGATACGTCAAACTAAAGTTGTTTGTTTTTTTAAACCTGATTTTAAATAAATGACTAAAGTTGAAATCAAGGTGTTTGGAAACCTAATCTCACACTTCGCAACATTTCCGTGTCACCTGACAATTTTTTAAAATCTATTTTAATCTAATTTTGGCAATGTTAAATTTTAAAAATTCAAATCAATTGTATGAATCTGGACATATTAACTAAATTGTTGATCACAATAAACAATATTAACTGAATTGTTGATCACGATAAACAAAGTATTTTCCAAGTTTTCATATACAAATGAGTGAGACTTCACCACATCGATGACAATATCCAATTAATAACATTAACCATGACCACAATAAGCAGCGTCTACTGTATTCTTTTAAGTTACATAATGCACTTTTTTATCTCTCTATACTTTGTATATAGCTATAAATTACATGTCTAAATACGTTGAAAAAAAAACTTGAGAAGAAAATACAGAGCAGGATGCAATGTTAGCAAATACAGCATTCAGAATTTTTTTCACATGTAAATTTAAAAAAAAAAAAATAAACATTGTTATTGTCAAAATTTATTAGCATAACACAGCTCAATGCATAGTGGAACCTCAGGTTACAAATATGTTTCACGATGAACAAATTTCCTAACCAAAAAAAAGAACTGTCTCGAAAGACAAACATACAAGCTATCAATAAATGAATTTCCTACATGTTTTGAGGTCACTTCTAACAAAAATGAGCAGTTTTAATATTCTCTATTATTCAATTTTCATGGACAAAGCCTTGTAATACATAACTAATGAAACAATGAATTCAATCTAGAAGAAATTATTACCAGAGATTTTGAAGAAGTTGACAGTTAAGGATTTTTCTGTTTCTATATAATGCCTAAATCCTTTGACGCGCGGTGGTCGTGCCCTGAAACCACCAATTTTGGAATTTTTTTTTTTCTTCTTTCCGAAATTTTTGAATGAAAATTGATTTATTACTGATCTTTTACCAGAGAGTTTTCTCTGACCTCAACACACTTGCTCCCCAAGCTAGTATTGTGATTTTATAAATTATTTCCTGTGGTTTAAATTTAATGTAAATATACTTTGCTATAATAAAAATTGAAATCGCTTAAAGTTTTATTTAAATTAAAAATATTTTCTGAATATTTTGGGATGAAATATGAATAAAATAAGTATGAATGGGAAACGAATGATCCGTACCAAAGCCAAAAAGACCAAGCCCTCCCCATTAACATAAAAAACCACAAACGTCATCTGATGAAAAGAAACTAAATAACACTGGACATATACCAGTGAAATTTAGATCCAGGCAGTGTATACTTTGTAGCACAAGGAAGAAACCTCATAGAAGATACATGTGTGAAACATGGAATGTGAGTCTATGCATGTACCAAAAAGACAAAACATGCTTTGAACAGTGTCACAAATTTTTTTTTTTCTTTGAAATTTAACAACAAAAACACTGATTATTTTTTTAATCCTTATTTTACTGAGTTTTTTTACTCATTTAGCCAAACGTCCTTATTATGTAGGTACTTATATTTTCACTGCTACAGAAAAATTACATAAATGTTTATATTTTAAATTTTTCTGACGATTTACCTTGTAAAATAATGTTAAAAAATTATATATAATGCAATTCTTACATACATTTTTTTTTTTTTTAAATTCGTAATTTTCTATTAATTCAGGATATTTGTTAAGTTTGCGGGAGTATAATGGAAAAGTAACCCTTTTTTCTATCAGCAAGATTTATTTCTATTTCATTTTAAAGATTAATAACAATATTTCTTCCCTTTTCATTTCTCATTATCTTGTAATTATATCACCAACTCTTTTTAATACATGTATATTTCTCTACTACTGAACTAGTTTCTTTCTAGTTTAGATTTAATGATTTGCACTGGTTTTTCAATTGTAAACTGGTGCAAATGTTACCAATGCAAAAGTTTAAAATCTGCAATCATCTGAGGCGAAGGAATGAATCAATAATATATTTTACAGAAGTTCCTAAAGGAGAATTAGGTTTTTGGTTTACAAAGATTTCAGATGACCTCTAGGAACAAACTATATTCGTTAACTGAGGTTTCACTGTACTTACAGACAATTTAGATACTGAAGTTACATTTGAAGATACACACATAAATCCAAATTTCATATATATACATAAATAGAAATTTCATATATATACAGAGAGAGAGAGAATTAAATTACATGAACTTTTGTAAAATTCAACAAATTAATTACATTACATTACAAAAACATTAAAATCCAACAAATAGTAATATAGCAAAAATACAAAATCAAAAACTTCTCACACACATACTCCTTTACATTAATATATTTTTCTTACAAATAATACATATAATATATACAAATAAGACTTTTTAGTGTAATTTTTAATAATTTTTTTCTTTCCTCTACGTCTGTTTTTCAAGCTGTTATTTATACTTTTCAGCTTATAATATATCATAAGCTGAGCATATGAACTGACAATATATTCCCACATTTTTACTGCATGATAATGGCATGTAAGCCATTCATGATCAATTAGTTTCAGTTGGGATATAATTTTGGATTTCACATCTTTTTGGCTACATATTTTATCAAACAAAGTTACAAATTTTTCACCCATCTCACAAACAGTAAATGTAAACTGTTGTGAGGGGTAACACAATCCATTTTTCACTACATCAAATTCTTTAAAATACAAAAAGTAAGTGTGTTCACCCAAAGATTTATCAACAAGAAGAATATTCTTACATAAAGTGCAAGGAAATTGCTTCAATGCCCTTCCAGCAATATATCCAGCAACATAAGCTGCTGAATTTTGTGAAAATACATCATATGATGTACTTGCAATACAAGCACTAGTATCAGAATTTTCATTTGCTACCAATAAGGGATCATCAAAGTCAATTTCCATATCATTTACATCACTGCCATTTCCAGGCTCAGTGTTATCGATAACTGTCAGCAACTCTGTAGGTATCAAAACTGTATCGTTATCAGGTTCACAGTTTGATAGCTTACTTGTGCTTATGATATTCTGTGCCATTAGTATTCTCATCCTCTGTTGAAAATCATATGCAGTTGGATGGTCATTATTTCCACCTCTGCGTCTAACAACAGAGAAAAAATTTTCCAAGGCATCTTGGGTGAAACGACACATTAATACAAATGGTACATCTTCCAACAGAACTGGAATTAACTGCTGAACTGCTGATAGTGTTAATTTCCAGCCAAATATACTTGGGAAAGATATTTTTTTTTTCTGTTTGAAATTCAATGCCTTTGATGAAATCCATCTTTTCCTTCCAGGTTTTTAAGTGAATCGATGACTTGGTAACTCCTGCAAGAAAAGGATTAGAGTGCTTAAGTGTTCTACTGTTCAAACTGTCAAATAAAATATTTATGTTTGAACAGAAATCTGCTGTAAGACTAGCCGATGCGGGTAAGCCATTTAGTGCACTAAGGTAACACAGGCCTGAAGCCACAGAATGACTGAAGACCTGAGCTGCTAATTTTACACTCATAGCACTAAGGCAATCCACATTTACATGGCGGTCTGTTAATTTCGGAACACATCTGTGAGGCATTTTACGATCAAATTCCCACAAAGATACAATGTGGTTCCAACTAGCAATTTTGCCACCCTGAAATTTAACATCATACTTTCTAAAATTATTTCGCAAGCACTTCAAAAGGTGAGGCACATCAAAAAGTGTGAATACCTTTTTGTCTTGACATATAATATATGGTCTCTTCTTCTGTGACTTTCATAAATTTTTTGTAACAAACTACATTGTTTGCACCACCATCACAAACAACAGCCACAGGTATCAAACCACAATCAAATAATTTTGATAGGGCTTCCATGACCAAAGTACACAACATAAAACCTGGAGTAGTGTGAGAAGAAAAAAAATAGCCAATGACCTGTTTCCACTTTTTACACAGCCCACGGACCATAAAAACAAGACCATGAGTTGCATATTCGGGAAATGTTTTTAGTTCAGTGTAGGAACCATAGTTTTCAAATCCAACAATGTAATCACTTTTCTTATCATAAGATAAGCTTTGCTTTAAAGTGATTTCATCGAAGGATAAGATGCAATACCTGTCATGGATTTTCAGTTTGCTAGCAACTAATTTTATGGCATTGAGCACAGCAACTGAAAATCCAGGTTCCATTTTTATACCAGATACAGCTTTCAATAATGTAGGCTTGCTGGGCAAATGCAAAAAAGCCTTCAGTGTATTATATGATTTTGGACTACTAAGATAGATCTGAAGGCACAAATTTTTATCCATCAGTGACCATCTTCGTCCGTATTTTGACACATTTGATGCTTTTATTTGTGATTTTATAAAAGTGAAAACTACAGAACTAACTAATGAGCTAATCAGCTGGAGTGCCTTTTCGACTCCAGCTTTGTTTGCTTTCCTTTTTGCTGAATGTTTTCGTTTTAAATATGCTGGCTTATTTCTTAACTGCCTTATTTTTAAAGATTTTGGTGTCTCGGTGATATTATTTAGTTCTATGGAGTGCTGGTGTGAACCAAGTTCTAGACAGCCAGAATCTGTTTGTGAAGTGCCAGAATCTGTTTCTGCCAAAGGACTTGAATTATCATCGATACTGATTGCATGCTGCTGCAATTTCGAGCACAACTTCATAGACAGCTGATGAACATTTACAACTCTGTCGTTTCTGGACAGCTCATCAGCTAGGAAGGAAAAAGAAAATTTATATATATATATAACACGACTAATGCATAATAATTCATAATATAATCATTATCAATTAATTATTTTATGAATATTTCATCTCTAAACAAATAAATATTTAACTAACCTTTAACACGGTTTGACATTTAGTTTTAAGAAAAGAAGTTTTGGTTAATCTTCGGATTATGGTAACTTGGCGATTTTTTGGCGACCAACCCTGCTAGTTGTTTTTTTTTTTTTTTTTTTGGACGCCATTTTGTTTTGACAAAGTAAAGGCTTTTTTTTTTTTTTTTTTTTTTACTACTCAACATTTTTTTCCAACAATTTGCTAGCCGAATTACGCTTATGCTAGAACTTTTATGGAACAAAAGTGCTTAATCATCACGAAGATTAGGTGCGAAATTGGGAGAAAGTGCAGAATCGCCCACTGCTTGCAGCGTTAAGAATTGCACATACACGGTATCATCCATGTATACGTCGATCTATTTTGACTTAAAAAAAATCCCAGAATTGCACAAAAATGGCATTGCGTACACTCTTGACTTTATCCATTTACACTGCTAAAGTCCTAGCTAGTAAACTTTATCGCCTTACCAAAATGTCGCCAAACTACCAGTTACCATATTCCAAAGATTAGCCGAAGTTTTAATTTTATTTTTAATTATCGTTAATTTCATTTATCCTGAGTTTGTAAATCTGATTCAAAGCCTAAAATTATACTTTGCGTAAATATATTCTGCTATATCATATTCTAAGAACATTCTGCTATATCCATAAAGGATTTACTAAGGAAAATTTAATGGATTTTAAAAAAGGGTTACTTTACATTCTCTCATACCAAAATTGACTATGTAAGAAACAGCAGAAGAGTCCTTTCATAATAAATAAGTTATATTATTTATGTAAACAAATGAAATTTCTGTGGGAGATTAAACTAAATTATCCTTCAGAAAAAGATTTATCACTCTTTTTAAAGACAGCAGACTACTCTCTTTCTAAGATAACATAGTAAGTTGTTGATCAGTACAATATATAAGAGGTTAAATTTTTAAAAATTTTTGAAATATATAAACTTGAAATTAATGCATACCTGTTTCACCAAATTTTGTTGGTTTTAGCACTCGAATGCAAAAAATGCTTCTTAGTTGTGGAATATGCATTGTCTTCAAAATGTGCGGAACAAAGACGACTTCGATATAAAAGAGAAGGTGGCTTCTTTAATATTTCCTTGTCACGTCCAATCAAGTAAATTCTACATGCTTCAAGCCATTGTGCTGATCTATAAAAGTTAAAACAACATGAAATTTACACCTACTTTACACAGGGAACACTAGTTTTTAAGCATTCATTTAAAATGTAACTTATTACTGTGCAAAACAAATACATATTTTAGTTTTTCCAGAAATTTGACATGTAGATAACATTTAAGTACTAATTTATGTACAAAAAAATTAATATTTATGCATTTTACTCAAACTAATGTTAAATTTTTAAGCATTCTGCTTATGAAAAAATTCATTTTAGCTGATGCATATATTCAACTAATGCTTCTACGATTTTGTAATATTTACATAAATATTTTATTACTATTGTATATATAATTAGGCTAAACAGATAAGGCAACATTGAATATCACACAAAGTATGTTAATGAATATAACGTTTTCATTTGAAAAGGAATAATTTTTTTAAATAACAGAAAGTTAAAAAAATTTCTTCATCTGTCATACTGTACTTATTTTCATGCATTTTAAATACTTATAACTTAAAATAAAAATAAAATTTTTACCTCTCTGGATTTTTAGGAAACCGAAAGAATTTTCTTTCAGGAAAATACCAAGAATTGGCATTACACACCACACACAACGCACATAAGCCTTTGGTGAAGGATCATTTAACCTAAATGAATTATTATTATAAAGATTTAAATCACATCAGTACAGAATATATAAAAATTGAATATAAAAATAAAATATGGATATTTAATAATTAATTTACAGAATACATTTAAGTTGCAAGGTTGAAATAAAATAAAAAAGAGCCAATGAATATCATGACACCAGAATTATGCAGCTAATTTACTTTAATAATTTTATTTTTAAAACTGGAAAAAATTATTAAAAAATTAATTTAAAAAATAATTAAAAATTGGGATAATATTGCAGTTCTTAGTAGCAAAAAATGATATCTGTGAATAGTTTATTATAAAGATTCTTTGATTATAAATAATGCTCAATGTATAGAATTAGAAAATATCATGAACTAAAAAATTGATACCTGGTTAAACGAAAATAGAAGTTGCAATATACATTACATATAACTGCAGGAAAGATCGGATATGAAGAACTGAAATAATTTTCATTAGCAATCATAGTAAATCATCCATGATTGCTTGATTTTATCCTCGCAATTATATACAAATATACTAATTTTGCGTAAGAAGCTTTGATAGAGATTTTTCGAAATACTTCTGATTTCTTTAACAGTAGGAATTATAATTTTTCAATAAAATGTTCCAATGAAACTTTTAACTTTTTTAATGCCAACTTAATTAATAATCGTTCATTACATGATATTTGATTACCATCCCATGTTATGGAATGGATTTGAACATAACTCTGGTAATTTAAAAAATAATTCTACTATGAAAAGGTATAAGAATTAAATATTTTTACGTACCTTTCACACGCAGGATCACTAGAGCGTGATTCATTATTTTTTTCCATTTCCAAATGTTCAAAATTGCTGAAATCCTCGTGCTTAGCGTTCAATATGGCGCGCTATGACGACTTCTACGATGTTGTTGACAACTCTTGGGCGCGCGCAGATCGGATGTCGGCCCGCCTTTAATCTTTTAATGGCGCTAATTTTTTAATCGCAAAATTTTTTTCTTCTAAGGGTCCGCCAAGCGCCTAGACATTGGGTTCTCATCTATCCCAGAGCTCCCCACTCTCGGTTGCTCGCCAGACGTCACTTCCGTTTGAGAAGATGTAAATAAGTTGGGAGGGGGGGTTGAACCAAAGCTAACGTGGTTGTCGTCTTTCTCAGAGCCGTATTATTCCATGCAGCTCTTAAATATCGTGTGTCCTCAAAATATACATTTTTAAATGGTTAATGAAGTAGTGTTTTTTACTTCTGTTGTTATAATGTTACCTATAATATTAAGCAGATAAGTTTTTATGAGTAACATTATAATGAAATAATATATTTCGAATGATATTTTTTTTTTTAATATTTACCTTTCGGAAGATGTTAGGTGTTACATCCAATAAATGATTTCAGTAAAATAAAGATTATTATCATTTTATTGGCTCTGTGAGATGACTGAGAAGTTTTATGCACTCCCAAAGTCACCAAAATTAACAAACTGGTGTGTGCAAATGTTTATAAATCAAAAATTTTCTAAATAAGGACAGGCAGTTGTGTCAAACTAAAATGCTGAAAGCGGTAGGTAAATAGATAAAGAAAAATGTCTTTAAAATATAGTTTGGGAAAAATGAATATGTTTAACTGTGTTAAGTTGTGAATTCATTAACGCACTTCATGTACTATAACTAGCACTGATAAAGATAAAGTTTTCTTAATATCGATAAACAAAGTACATAAAAACATATTCCTACATATCATTAAAATATTAGTATTTTTCATGAATTCCAGAGAAAATATGCTAATGAATAATAAATACCATGGTCAAGAATTACCTAAACAAACAAAAAAAAAAAAAAAAAAAAAAAAAAAAACCTACCTTGATACATAAGAAAGGAATATCACCATGTAACACATTGTTCACTTGTGTCAATATCACAGGCATTTTCTTCAGATTCTCCATTGACAAGTTGTATCTGTTAAAATGCCCCTGAGGCAGGAAAACAATCATCTGCTGATGGGACAGGTGCATATTTAAAACATAGAGATTCACAGGATTCGTAACGATATCAAACATGTTTTCACAATGCTTGAACCTACACCTTTTTCAACGTAAATATTGAGACACATTTTTCATCACATCAAATGCATACAAAGAGGCTACTAAATTTAGATTCTGTTTCTCCAGGGAAGCTTGTATTTGAGAGAAATATGAAGCTATAAATGTGAGACTCTTATTTAGAGATGCCTTTTTAAATAACGCCTAAGCATTTTAATCGAAGAACATAAAAAATATTGACAGCATCTGTGGTTTTGACAAAATACTAGTCATTAGGGCCAACCTTACTGTATTTTCTGCCCACGAAAGCATACAGAAAGTAAAAATCTGTTAATCACCCTTCACTGAAACCAGAAATAACTGAATAAAGATAGAACATTTCACAAAGAAATCTATAAAAAAACTTCAGTATTTGGCATTCTGTGCAATCACCCTACCTCCACCTCTTAAAAACGCTACTACTACTCGCCAAAATAGCAAGCTCACGCTACCATATTCCTCACTTTTTCAAAACTGGATTTAAAGGCAACAATATATCAACTGCAATCTCTCTAAAGACTTTTGCTCTAGCAGGTAATTCTAAAAACATCCTTTTTACATTAGAAATAAGTTTGCAATTGTCTGTGAACAATTCATGAAACTTTTCGGCAAGGTGTACAGGGTGTGCATTTTAGATACAGTATTTTGAGAAACGACCCTGTAAATGCCTCACCTTTTTTATACATCTCATCATTCAGGAAAAGAATGGCATAGTCATGTTTACTTCTATTAAGACGAAATAAATTCTATTGATGAAACTTGAGATATACCGAAACTGTTGGTTTCTTTCTACATCTGCTATCAGGAGGAATATATCTGATATTTTAGGGTGTAAGGTTTTAGTTGCAATGTTACATATGAATTTTACCACAGCATTCATTCATGAAAATGAATTGCTGTCCAAAATCACACTTTGGATATCCTAAACTGCACCAATGTAAGCAGTATGTCAATATGTTCTTCTTAAAATAGATTTATAGGGAATTTATCACTTTCAAAATATCTTTTTGCAGATGGACTTTTAACTTTCCAAAATGTCATTCAATTCAAATCATTCATGAACTACTTATGACATGACATGCAGCTGTAAACACTAGTAAATGTTTTGTTGTTTCATTGGCATTACACTTCCTCTTAATTGTATGTTTGTGCTATGCTACAAAATAAAATTTTTGAGCACTAAGTGGTTTTTCTGGTGCTTATGTATCAATAAAAGTGTCCATTCCAAATTCTTTTGAAAAATTGTTCATTTTCCCTATCATTGAAAGCTCTTTCTTAAGCTTGGCAGTATAGCACATAAGGCAAAGCAAAGAAACAAATGAAACTGAGAGAAGAAATTTTGACAGAACCTAGTCATCACTCTGGCATTCATGCTGCTAAGTTCGTCAACAATAACCTTCCTGAAAAGGAGCATTTCATTCATCCATTTATTTTTTTAGGTAATTTCTAATTATCACACCCCACCACCACCAAAAATTATAAATTTGTTGCCAACTTTGGAGAGAGATGTTTATTTGAGTACTTTTGTGTCTATTTTAATAATGCATCCAGTGCCACCTATTTCTTTTTTTCTACAATACACACATACTCCTTTTTTTTTTTTTTTTTTTTTTTTTTTTGTGCTACTGTTTGATTTCTTGGACACAGCATTGAAATCAAAATTTTAAAATAAGAAGGTAAAAAAAAAGAGGTCCATAAAGCCTTTAACCCTTTGATGGGCGGCGGGACGGCTTTTTTTTATCAGTTTTTATCTCCAAGATGACAGCTGCAAAATTCTGTTTAAAATACATACAATAATACCTTTCAGTTTCCTAAAATATATAACAGATGGTGGCACTAGTAATTCATAGAAATCATGTAGGAAAAAATTCTTTGCAGGTCTAATTTTGAAGCATTTTTTGTTTTAATTTCTTATGCAATTTATATCATTTGGACAACTTTTGGTATTAGAATGAATATTTTTTTTTCTTGCAGATAAAAAGTATTATTTGAATTCATATATATATATTAATTAAAAATGGTTGAAATGAAAAGGTGGGACAAATTTGTCCCATCACGCATGTAGGAAATACTGCTACTAGGGGACAGGACTATTGAAAATGTTTTCCGAACATTTGTTCCATTGTGATTTTGTACTTTCGGTTTA